TCCCCCCCCCCTTTTAATTTAGCTTTCTCTTTCACCTTTTCCTGCTGCAATTACTAGGACTGAGTTTCTAGTTCTCCAGGCTTTTGCATGTTATCTTCAGGTGGAGGTTTTTGCCTCTCAGCTCAGCTGGGTCCCCTGCCTAGATAACCATATAACAGCTGTCAAACATAGGGTTAATCCTGCTCTCCCTGAAATCAGTGTGAAAATTTCCACTGCACTCACTGGGGTGAAGATCAGGCCATGGGATAGGCTAAGCTGATTAACAACTAGCTAGGAGAGACTTTTTAAATTATCCATCACTGTTAAAAGAGGAACAGCCTAACAAACCATCGCCATTACTGTACATCGTTAAAGTGGAGAGTAGTGATGACAACAGCCATGCTCCTTCACACAGAGTTAATTCCATCTGACTTCTCAACTGGCAGTAGCTGAGATCAGTATTGTACAAACACTTAGTTCATTTTACATCCCTGTTTCTTCCCCTCCCCATCTCCCCAGAACGCACACCTACTGCCACTTGCACCCTACTCTTTCTGCTGTGAGGAATCGAAGCCCTGTTCCTATGTCACGTATGAACGGAGGCTGGAGACTTGGCCGAGTGCACACAGGGAAACTGTGGCAGAGCAGGAAATACAATCCGAGTGTCCTGAACTAGCTGCCAAGCAGTCGCCCACTCATACTTTCAGTCTCTAAGTGACAGACAGGGACAGTGATCTTGTTCAAGGACAGATAAGACAGCAAAGAGCTCTAACACCTGCCTCTCTGCTCTTTGGCAGGAGGGGGAAAGCAGTGGAGGAGAGGGGCTGCTCTCTTCCTCTCCCTAATCTGCTTCCTGTTTGCTTCAAAAACAACCCAGTGAACGGTTGTTTATTATTATTATAATAGCTATTTTCCAGAGTGCTGTAAAACCAGGGGATAGAGTAGTCTGACAGCTTCATAACAAACAGAAAATAAAACTAATTATATGTTGTCCTTCCTTTAGTTTGCTGACTTGATTCTTTTTATCATTATTGTTTAATTATTTATTTTTAGACTAAAGGTTTACTCACACCTGTACTTCACCAGGCACTGGCAAGGCATCCATAGGATCGCCTCCAATGGGAAATGGCTATTGGGGCCCAGCAGGCCTGGTGAGTTGGCAAGAGGCGGAGGAGACAGAGAGTGCACTGTGAGCACTGCTCAGCGCATCTTCTACCCATGTCATGTAAACCGTGGAGGAGGGGAGGAAGGAGAGCGGAGCTATTCACAGCCACTGAGAGAGTCAGTGAGACAAAAGGCATGAGTAAAAAAAGTTAATGTGCCTGGCAAGAAACCAGAACTGCTTTACCGGTGGAGACTATCTAAGTGCCTCTAGGACACCCTCTCTTCTGGCCATTATGGAAATATTTGGCTTGTGTCTCAACCTGAGAGCCTTGCTGACTCTTGAGGAATGACAAGAGTGGGGAGCAGGGAGATTTCCCGCTCCTCCCTCTCTTTCTGCATCAGCTGTTTCCAAATTTTTGGGGATTAGTTAGCAAAAGCAAGAAAAGGCACTGGCCTCCCTGCTCAGTACTTAGCGGACTGAAGTGAGGTGACGTGCCTCAGTGCAGGGGACAACGGCTCCATTCACTGGGGAAATACCAAACCAGAATTACAAGTGTGCAAGAATAAACAAGGCTGGAGTTAATCTAAAGTTGTTTTACACTCTGTTTTATTAAAGTCAATGCACTTCCGTTCTTCTGTGCAGAGCCTAGTTCTGCTTAATTACCATGACTCAGGGAGAATTTTAATAACAGGGAGAGAACAGGGCAAAATGGAGGCCCTTGCCTGACCTCTAGAGGCCTGTCAAAAGAAGAAGAGCATATGCTTCCTGTAGAAGCTCTTGGAAGAAACGACAAAGTCGCCAAAACTGCTCCTGCTGTAGGTTTCTATGTGCCATTCCCTGCTGGTTGGTCACCTAACCCTCTCACTACACTTCCTCACCTCCCACCTTATCAGTAACAGGCTGCTTACCTTGGGGTGTTGGGTTCGCCTTGCTGTCACCTCCAACAACTTCCTCGCTCCTTGCTGACAATTTGTTCGGCAGAAACCAGAGAAGGTGCCAGGGAGAAGCCTTGACCAGTCTCTCCATATTGCACAGCAGCATTTGTGCATGGACACTTTGGTCCCAGCTTGGCCGCTGCACTCCAATCCTGGACGTTGATGGCGCACTAAGTGCCTTTGTCAGCTCGCTCTCTACCTCCTGCACCTCCTAGCGCAGGGATCTGAGCAACAGTGGCTACTACCCCTAATTTGGCTCCACACCTGCATGGAGGCCACACTTCCTACATCTACTAGGGCAACTCTCTTGCAGCCTGTAGATTCAATAAATTACAACCAGGGCAGAATTTGTCCATTGAACTGAATTCTCCATAGTATAACAATTTCAAAATGAAACAGCTGTAAGGCTGAGAATGACCCATAGTACCTACAGTCAAATTATAGGTGTCTCATTAAGAAAAAAGCTGATTTAAGAAGATTTATTTTCCTTTCTGATAGGTTGTACCATCAGCAAGCCTTGGTGGGCATCATTCTGCTATTGCTCTGGCAGGGTGCTGGTATTCAATGAAGAGAAGGTAGAAAGTGCAGGGCTCTGTATGTGTACGTTCACATCTACACTTGCATTCATGTACAGTAGTATTTTCTGCACTGCATCCTGGGCTTGTGCTGAATCCAGAAGATCCTGCAGCATGGCCTGTGCACGCTGTAGACAGGGTCTAGCAGAGTGAGAGTTTTGTCATGTATTCAAATGCTGGATTTTGAAGTTAACTACACACATATATCATTTTTTATTAAGAAGCTTTGAAGCAATGTTATACAAACTATTGGAATGGGAACACCTGTTTTACTTCTTTCCTATCCATTCCTGTGAGCCATCCTTTTATGACAATTCACTATTATGTGCAACAAGCTCCACACCAAAGCCAGCAGAACAGGACATCTGTACAGAGAACACACCATACCTAATGAATTAGATTGGTCTAAGAAGCTTCAGTTTATAAGGACCCAAGCTGCCTGTCTTTTGAGCAGCATTATAAAGCAAGAGCTAGAGAGATAGAGAGCTGTCGTGTGCTGGCTAAGACTTTAAAACACTTGGATACTGAAACCTCAGCAGGACAGGAAGAAACTTTCTCCCAAGAGCAAGCTCCTGCTAGGAAACTATGTTTAGGTAGTCTGGGAGAAAGGTGTTTGGCTATTTATCAGAAAAAACCTCAGTCTTTACCAGGAATTCCCTCCACAAACAGCATATAGATGACAGGATGATATGGTACTTTTAGCCACATATAAGTAATAATAATAGTAATCACCGACAATGAAGGCCGTATAGGCTGCAACTCTATCACACGTTGTATGTCCTTCCTCCCCCTTGAACCTCGCAAAGAAAGCAGCAACAGAGTTGTGAGACTCTTGCGTAGCGCAGTTAACTCCATTTGAGTTTAAGGTAGTTCTCCACTTGCAATAGCAGAGTCTAGGACACACGAGAAGTTCAGGCAACATAAGAAGTGAGATACAGTGATGTGGGCTTCATGCTTCAGGGACCTCAGGCACATGGCTGGGTTCTCAGTCAGTGCTGAAGTTCAAAAAGTCACATCTCCACTGCTTTGGCCAGTGTAAAACTGAAGGCATGTGAGAGCATGGTGAACTCTAATGCTGGTGGAGTTCGGATTGCAAAGATACTGCTAGGTTACCTGTCCTCCATAAGAGATGATTTTATAGAATCAGGAGCTGTGTTTGCAGGTGATTTTAGGAGAAAGCTATTTTTTTTCCATTTGGGGATCAAAAGAGAAGCTGTTCTGACCCACTTCTGGGAGTCACTGGTAGAAGTGTTCCATATATACCCTACCAGTAACCTCTTCTACTCCATTGCTATCTGGCATAAATGGGGTCCTGTAACCAGGTCTAGTTTTCCTCAGTGGTATCATAATAAAACTAACCAAGAATCACTGGAGGTGATACTTGGGCTAAATTCACTCTTGGATATTGTCACCATCACTAATCCATTGCTGGAATATTGGGGGACTTCTGGCTACCTCAAGAGAACGTGTTTTCTCCTGGAAATGCCCCAAACCTCTCTCACTCCCAATAAAAGCTTTAAATATTAGCTCTAGTTCCCCAGGATGAACTGCTATGTTTGTACTTTAGCACATCCTGCTGGAAGGATATCTCAAAAAGAAAGTATCGTTTCACAGGCTCTGTGATACAAATTCTGGACTTGGGCCCAATCAGTTCAAGCATGAAGAGATTCAACTAAGATTACGCTGGACTAGTTCATTTCAGTGCGAGGTGAGTGAAGAGGTGAATTTAGCTCAGGCTTCCAGAGATATGTGTAAATATGACATTTTACAATGACAACAGAGGATACTGAGAATAAAATGAGGTGGAACCAGCTCCCTAAAACGCCAGGGAAAAACTTCAGCAGCTCTCCATGGAGCCATTTTCCAGAGAAAGCTCCGTGTCTTTTCTGAGCGTCTTAGAAGGAAGTGGACTGACATCTTGACATACAGGGGACAAGTTACTGGACCAGATCTCCATCTGGTGGCCAGCAGTATTTCTTCACTGTAGTCAGCTCAGCACTGATTTTCTGCAGGTAAGGAACTGGTTGCATACCTTAGTGGGGCATGGAGGATTTGTCAGATTGTTGCTGAAATATGACCAGCTCAGAAGCATGCACGGCGTGATTCAAAGCCTATTGAAGACACTTGTAAAAACTCTGGTCAGACAGTAATCAGACACGTGACCTACAGCTCAAGATAACTGAATGGTAACAGAGAGCTCTGGCCAAAGGCCTCAGAAACTGCCACTCTTCCAGGATTTGTGGACAAAGGCTGCTGCCCATAGTAAAAGCCTAAATTGGGATGAGGGTCACCATCTCTTGTTTCCTCAGGACAATCTATATGAAGCCATATACTAATAAACTAGAGGCAGCCACTGAACTGGGGATTGTGTTTAGGAATGGCTGATGTCCTCACATAGCAGTATCTGAGCCAGCAGCCCCTCTCTCCATCTTGTGCGCAAAGGAAAAGAAGTCCTTCTCTCTGTATTTATGTATATACATTACACAAACATATAGTCAATTTTCCATGCAGAACTGGAGCAATACATGTGGGGAGGATGCTGAAGCTGGCAAACAGACAAACATGAACACTAACACATTTGCTTATTGCTTAGCCAGTCAAAGCTCTCTTCACGCAGGGCTGCTCTCAAACCCACTGCACATCCCGAGAGGTGCTGAACGCAGAGGGAGAGCCCTGTTGTTGGCTGCTGGCTGGCTGGAAATGTAGAGCCCTCTGAGAACCTTGGAGCTGCATGTCTGTCCCATGGTCGCTCCCCCATCTTCTGTCTCTCCTTCCACCTGCAGCAGGCACTCCTGGATCTCTTTGTCTAGCTCTGAGAAATCCCCTTCACCATCAGAGCAGCTATCAGTATTATAATCTATTTCTTCCACACAAGGAGGTTCATCATCAGTCTCCAGGCTGCTGTTGCTGCTGCTCCTGCAGAAAAATCACAAGAGAGAGCTGATGTCATCAAAGGAGGGTGCTGATATCCAGTGAGAACTGAGGAATGGGGAAGTGCATTTCCTGGGTTCAATCCTGGCTCTGCTAATGAGGCATGAGATAACACGAAGCAATATTCTATATGTCTTTGTGTCTCTTTTGGCTTTTGCCATCTGTAAAATGAAGAAGAATGCTACTTATCTGCCTCATAGGAGAAACATTTATTATTGTTATTATTGCTATTGCTTATGCAGAAATGCAGTGCTTTATATATAGACAACACTGTTCCTATCTCGAGGCACTTACAAGGTTAAAGAAGCTGAAATATAGCAGAGGGTAAGAGGAGGTATTCAGTTACCAGAAGGTTGCTGGTTTAATCATCATTCACCTTGCTGAGGTTCCACATCTAGCGTAGGACCTAATTCATTCAGGTAGTTAAAGTGCTTTGGCATCTTTGCCTCCTGTTCTGTGCGAGCTGAGAGCCCCACTAACAAGAGGCAGCATAAATGGAAAACAGAGGCTCTAGGGACTTCAAGCACAGCGACTCCAAGGAGGACACAAGTACCAGGACTGCTTGTGTTTCGGAAGGAACATGAACAGGCTTTGGCCACACAATTTTCTAAAGGAGGGTCAAATTAAGAGGCAAGTCTGAATGACTGTGGAGAGACTCTAAATTGATGTCACAACTCCTTCATCTGGCTCTCAGAAAGGCAGGTTATACCATCTTAGCCTCCTGCCATTTACTTTACAGGAACGGTCATAGTCTTTCTTCACATGTTTATTTTCAATACATTTTGTATTAAGTTAGCCTAATGTAATATTTATGACAGAATTGTAACCACTAGACCATATGGCTCTGAGGGATAAGGCCTTTCTCCTATCTAGCTGTCTAGTGCCAGTTTGGCCCTTGGCCTGGGAGGGCAGCTGGGTGTTTTTCTGAGACTAGAAAGAAGTCTATGGTTTCAGTGTTGCCTGGGTCAGAATCTGGATGAATTAGAGGGACAGATACTGTATTTCACCTCCAGGTCAACAGTTTCAATCAGACTCAAAGCAGAAGAATGTATTGCTTTGGGGGACTGGGAAAGGAATAATAATCTTCCGCCACTGGGCCAGAGTTTCTAATTTGTCCCAAGTCGGGAAGAATGAATAGCTTGGCAGATGGAGTATGCACAGCTTTAATGTGTGGTCTGCTCATTTACATGTCAGTAACCAGAATAATCTTCCAGCTCTCAGCTGTTTCACAGCAGTGCCAGCATCTGAGGTTTCAGAACATACCAAATGTGTAAAGTATTGCTCTTGGATGTATTGATCTCTTTTCTCTCTTCCTGCACTCCAAAAAAAGTCTGAGATTTTCCTAGCATTTGAGTATCCAGATCTTAACTGTACACAGGCTACTCTGCAAAGCTACTCTGCAAACAGAAACAAGCCGTTATCAACCCACGCCTCCTTATCTAGCTGATATCTGGCTTAGTTTACTTCAAAGGCAGGGTATAAAGGATCCTCTGAAAGCTTAATAGAGCTGTACAGTTTAAAAATAAATAAATGAATAATTATGCACTTTCACAGTTTGTGGCTCCACTTCAGTCTGCCCAGAAATCTAGGTCAGGAGGAACTCAAACTGAATTTGAGTATGTGACATGAAACAAACCAAACCAAACCAGGACAATCCTCCCAGCACAAACATTAACAAGCAGTGGTCTCTGCAGAGTCGGGCCACTGCACATGATTATTATTCTTTTTTTTTACTTATGCATTTGCATATGCATGGCATGCATTATAAAGACACCAAGTACCCGTTATAATGTTCAAAGCCAAGTAAACTCAGGGGAACTAGATCTTTTCATTTATAAGCTCTGCTGTTGCTGCTTTGCAATCAGAAAGAACCAAAATGTATTTACTTTCAATACTGCACTTGAATGTTTTGGGAGGGGCTGCTAATGCCTTTGGGACAGAACACAGCTACCACTCAACTCACTTATACCTTACAGAAGGAAAAACAATTCAGTTTGTAATCTAGGAACCAAAGTTAAACATCTGCATTATCAGGATGAGAATTAACAAAAACCACTTATTATTAAAGCTGGAAAAGTCAGTAACAGTGGACCTTCTGACTTCACTTGATGACTTAAATGATTTGAGGACTACATTTGCAATGAAAAGGGGAAAATAACTTCTAGCATAAAAGCACTTTAGTATGGAAGGAAAATCTGGAAGACAATGAGAGATGGAAAAGGAAAAACAAAAACAACTACCATTTGCTTATGCTGAAGACTGAAGATACAGACCAAGGGGAAAATACACATAAAGTCTTTAAGAAGCAAGTACATGTGCCTAAATTCTTTGTAATGGACTTTATTAACTTTCCCTCCCAAGACAGATGCTATCACACTGCCTAGAAATCTACATACATAGTACATGAAACACCAAGGTCACGAAAATTCAACTCTTGCAGAGAGAGGCTCCCCACACGTGGGGATGTGCCTAGACCATCTCTAGGTATCAGGAAAGAAGTCCTTCTGCCTAGTTTGTTCTACCCTTGGCTCCTTTGCTGTTACTATGAACGAGCAAGTCAATTAACACTGAGCTTAGTGGTGTAACACTGAGCTTAGTGGTGCTTTCTCTGATTTGGACTGATATCCGCTACTAACTGGATCGATGCCACCACCTCAAATCACACTGTGAGCTACCAAACAGCAAATAGATGGTACCAACTTTCTCTTACTGCCAAGTCAGGCTGTAATCACCCTGGTGACTTAAGAGCTGAAAGGCTCTTTATCACACTACGAAACTCTACAGAACAGCCACATCTCTCTAACTATGTGGATTTTTCCATCCCAATTCCATCCCACTTTCTGCTGTGGAAAGATTTAAAACACACAACAAAGCAATACAAATGGGCTAGTTCAAACCAGTAGTTTGAAGGTTCTTCTAAAAGAGAAGAGATAACCACATGCAGCATGCTGGGGAGCAGGTTAGAAACCCACTAAGGAAGTTGCCAAACTTATCACATGCTGCTTCTCCAAATCACACAGACCTGCTCCCTTAGGGGAGAATGCGAATGGTGAAACATGGTGGTAAGCAGAAATGGTAGCATCTAGACTACTGCATACAGTTGAATCAGGTGTGGTTTTCTTTCTTCTCCAAAAAAGAGGGTTTTGTTAGGAGCAGGTTCTGGTTGTTTTTTTTTTTTAATCTGAGTTGTTAATGCTGCAGAAAAATCCTTCCCCCCAACAGACAAAAAAACTCAACAAGAGACATGACACGTTACCAAAGAATAATGATGTTGTCTTACAGAAGATAAACAAAGAGAAAAGCCAATGACATTACATCAGAGAACTCCAAGACAAATATAGTCTATGAATAGCACTGACCGTGAACACAGTACAGAAGAGGGGGAGGGAAGGCTATTAATATATCCACAGCCAACAATCCCCCTGCTATCTCAATAAGACAAGTGCGCATATTTGTTGGTCTACTAATTTAAAACCTACAGCCTCATAGCCCTCATCTATTCCAGCCAATGGGAGCCACAACAGCAATTTGCAACTTTATGATGTGATAAATAGAATTTCTTTGTTTTGATTTTTAATTTGCATATTTATTGAGATAGGACTTGATTTTAATTAGTTCTGCTTTTTCATGTGGGTGTGTTTGTTTGTTTGTCTTTGGAAAGAAAGCAAGCTTTGTTATCCTGCAAAACAATTCTACTTTCTCGCTGACTTAACATAAGGAGAAGAGGGGAGCCCCGTGCTTCCCTGCATGTCAGCACAACTAGAGCTTTCTGATATGAGTGGGAAACACTTCTTCCAGGTCCCTGCCTCAGACCTCTCATTCTAAATCGCTTACCTGTTACATCACAGCTGGGCACAAACCCTGGAAGTCAGTTGACCTGCTGAATTGCACATAAGAAAATACAGCCTGCACTTCTGGCTGGCAAAATATAGCTACATGCTGTACATGGGGATGGCAGATGATCTGTCTTCCATGCATACTTCTTCACCTGCGCATAAACTGCCAGGGCATGGAGAGAAAGTAGAGATTTCCTAAGTCACTTACAGGGCTGTTTCACTCACATTTTACTTGTCTGGCAGGTGACTTGCTCTCCTTGTATTCTACTGACTGGCTCAAAATAGAACGTGTTTTATTTTTTCTGTTGGAAAGAACAGGCACTGGCAACTGTCCCTCTTAGGAAATCTGTGACTATTGTTCAGGGCTGCTGCCTGACCTTCATTTGACAGGCCTAGCAGTTGCAGTGTGATACTGAAGGAAAAGGATTTTTTTTTTTTTTTGTATTTCTCAGCTCACTCTTGCTGCAGTTTTGCCAGAGTAAAAGTAGAAAGTGAGTGGTTAAAGCGAAAGCCAAAAGGGAGGACAATTCTAAGTCTGGAGACCACTGTTGGTCATGGATATACAAGTGAATACCTGTGAAAATGTATCAGCAAACGAACAAACACATCTTCATCCTCTCTCTGAAGTAAGAAAATTGCATCCCAGTAGCTGCATAATCCCCCTGTCTGTAGCCATATTTTCCCCTTCCCCTAAACCTTCCCTCTATCATTATCTGTCGCAATCTTTTGAAAGCTGTTCAGCACAAGGACACGGCTGTAAGTAAAGAGCATATCTGCATATCTGTCTATGATACACTTCAAAACCACAGTAATGCAGGAAACAGTTTTCTTCAAAATTTTCAATATTTCAGACATTTGCCTGTGAAAAGAGAAAGCAAGAAAAAAAATATCCAATTCAAACAGTCCAATTTCTCAGCAACTACAGCATTCACCTGAAATAAAGGACAGTTTTTTCTCAACTCAAGCAAGGATTTGAGTCCCTAGGGAGTTCCCAGACCAGTTATCACATGTCCAGAAGGGGAATCTCTTATTCTCCTCCAATAAAGTTGTACTTATTGTGTGAATAGTTATACACATGCTGGTAAGTATGGTGTCCTGCAGCTCCTACAAATACACTGCCCTTTCCACAGTGTATTGGGGTTGCCTTGC